GCGAGATGCGCACCGCCACCACCGTGCTCATCATGATCGTGTTCATCATCTTCTGCTGGGGGCCCTACTGCCTGATGGGCATCATCGCCGCGCTCGGGAGCTACTCCTTCAATCCTGCTATGGATACCGTGGCCATCTGGATGGCGTGGGCTAACGGTGCCATCAACCCGCTGATTTACGCCATAAGGAACCCGAATATATCCATGCTGTTGGGTCGGAGCAGAGAGGAGGGATACAGGACTAGAAACATCGCCGCGTACCTGTCCACGCAGACGCAACGCACGGACACGGTCCGGAACCGGGCGGACCGGATTAGAGACCGGTACGTGAGCCGCCACGGCGCAAACAGCCGTCTGTCTTCCTCTAGCCCGGCCAACGGCGGAGATGTGGCCATGTGGGCCTGTAAAAACCCGGCGGTGTTCTTCTGTCGAGATGCGCATCCGGATACGATCACTGAACCGGCGGTGCCCAAAGTTGAGACTGCTGACACCAGTTTGTAACGCGCTCACACTTTATGATGACGGCGGGAGGTGCTACAGGTGTACAGTGGGACCTAAAATTACTTGGGTCGCGCACTTAAAAATGTAAAATTTCGTTTATTGCATTGGATAACAAAATGTCAAGTCAGGTTTTAATATTTAACACAAACTTTTCTAATGCAATGATATTAATACATCAAATAATTAATTTAGAATTTAACTCTTTTCAATTCCTTTACTTTCAAACTCATTTTGACATAGCCTATATATTTTTTATGATTTTATATGACATTCACATTGTATACCAGAGGCTGTTTAACTTATTGATATTTGGCTCATACAGTAAACATATAGCCTATTTTATTAGAGACCCTTAATATCATTTTCTTGTTAAGTGATATTTATGCGGGTTATTTTTTTTTTTTTATCTTTCTTTCCTTGGGTCATTTTATCTTAGAAGAGCAAAAGTGTTTTATTAAATATTCTGTTAAATAATTAAGCTTTTGACAAAAGGAGCTGACAATCA